CAGTGTCCAACTAGATCCCTTGTGACACCCAAACAAACATTCACCATCGGACACTGGGATGTGAGAACAATGTATAGAGGAGGAGCTTCAGCGCAAATTGCGAGAGAGATGGAAGGATACCAACAGGACATTTTGGGAATCAGTGAGTGCAGATGGACAGAGAGCTGGTAAGATGAGAATGGCCTCGGACCAGACCGTCATATACAGCGGGGATGAAGAATTACGTGAGGGAGAAGTTGCCATAATGATCAGCAAGCGTGCAATGAAATCACTCATGGAATGTACATCCGTCAGTAAGAGAATCAGTAAGAGAATCATGACAGCAAGATTCTATTCAAGATACAGAAGAGTGTCAGTGATCCAAGCATATGCGCCACATAATGAAAAGGAAGAGGAGGAGAAAGACTAATTCTATCAGGAGTTACGAAGACCATGCATGGATGTAATAAGAACGATGTATAATTATTATCATGGGGGACCTAATCACAAAGGTAGGGAGTGACAATAATGGATATGAAAGAACTAAGGGTATCCATGGACTGGGAACACAGAAAGAAAATGAAGAAAGACTATGTGAATTTAGTCAGACCAACAAACTTGTTTGAACATTGTTTTCCCACAAAAACATACACAAAGCAACATGGGTGTTTGTTACTGGAACAGCGAAAAACCAGATTGACCATCTTCTCATCAGTGGACAGTGGAGATCTTCTGTTCTTGACACCAAGGTTCAGAAGGGAGCGGATGCCAATAACGATCACTACGTGGTGAAGACCCGAATCAGGCTACGGCTCAGCATACACAAGAATAAGAACAAGATGAAACCAAGATTGGATGTAGAACGCTTCAAAAACAACGAAGTAAAAGCTAAGTTCAATGACTGCATGAGAGAGAAATAAGAAGAGCACAGAGAAAATTCTGAAGATGTCGAGAAATTTTGGGACCAGCAGAAGATGGCATATGTGAACTCAGCAACAGAAGTACTTGGCTACAGGAAAGGCAAAATGAAGGATATGGAGATAACGAACAGTATTCAATACCAAAGTCCATAGAACAATACAAAATAGGAGCAGAGCAAACACGGACCTCCAAAACATCAGAGGTGGGATCAGGTGCCATGAAGGAGTGAGCATCCCCTGGTGACCGGTCACACCCGCCGAGTCCTCCTCGTCATGATCGGGAAATAACGGGAAAATCCAATTCAGTGTATAAATAATAGACTAACAATTAGTATGAAAAACGTCAGTCAGCATTCGACTCAATGATAAATTGTATTTGCTGACAAGGTCATTGTATCAACCAAAGATCAACGAAATGATGACTTTAAACGACACTGCTGATATTCTTGTTTCATCAACTTGTTTGTCAATAATTTGCCTCTTTTAGAAATTGTTCATACGTAGAACATGCATGCTTCTGCGTATGGAATCAACTGAGATATATAAACGCCGTATGCAGGTGATGAAGGTACCAGTATATTGCTGCATAAGTTAGTGATGTTGACGATAGAAAAGTTAAAGTCATCACGTTTATCATATACCTTGGTTGTTAGATTACCATTAACGTCTTTTCAAGTAAAATATCCAAGTATGAAACAGATGTGTCAAACTCTGTGGTATCATTTATTTCAAGGTCACCAGGATATATCGTATCGAAATAGGAATGGAAAATACCATTGTTAAATGACAATACGTCGTCGATATATCTTAATGTTGAGTTGAAGGCCACAGCAAGTGTTTTCTTCTTATCACGCATAAGATTTTGGACAAATTCTGCCTCATGTGAATACAAAAATAGGTCTGCTAGTAACGGAGCAAAAGTAAACCTTGAATCAGCGAAAACACCTGGAAGTTGATACATGAAAGAAAAGACATCAAGACAAAAATAGAGAGCACAAAATCAGAAAGAGTCAAGACAAGGCTGAAGGAAAATTACAGGGGGGGGGGGGGTTCAAAGCAGTCAAGAAAAGTGCGCGAGAAGACAAGAGGAGAACGGGAGGCAGAAGGAACTGTACAGCATAGTAAAGCAGCTGACAAAAAACAGAAATAAACAAACAGCAGCGGTGAAGAGCAAAGATAGAGAGCTGCTGAAAAATAAAGAAGCAAGGCTTTCCGGATAGAGGGACTATTTTGAAGAAGTACTAAACAGGGACACTCCAGAGTCACCACCACAAGATGAACATGAGGAAGAAGAAGAGAAGGACATCTCGGTTGATCCACCCACCACACAGGAAATAAGGACTGCACTGAAGACGATTCGGAATGGGAGGGTCCCTGAAGCAGATCATATAACTGCAGAATTGTTAAAGGCAGACATTGATAAGAGCAGCCAGGAGTTGAAGCACACCTTTGACCAGATATGGAAGGAGGAAAAGATGCCCAAAGAATGGACCAGAGGACTGATCTGTAAAATTCCCAGGAGAGGCAACTTACAGGACTGCAGCAACTGGAGGGGAGTCACATTGCTGCTCCTAGCCAGCAAAGCACTCAACAGGGCATCATCAACAGAATACAGGCTGGAGTTGACCGCACCCTGAGGAAAGAGCAGGCAGGATTCCGGAGAGGGAGAGGGATTGTCAATCAGATCTTCATCCTTAGGAACATCCTGGAACAAGTCAACGAGTAAAATGCTACACTGTACATCCATTTTTAGACTTTGAGAAAGGTTTCGACTCGGTGCACAGAGACAGCCTTTGGTTCATTATGAAGAAATATGGAATACCCAGAAAACTGATTACGATGGTCAAAGCCCTGCATGACAATTTTCAGTGATCTGTCATTGATGACAACGAGACCACAGACCCTTTTCCTATGGAGACTGGTGTCAAACAAGGATGCTGCATGCCAGGCCTCTCGTTCCTCCTAGTGATAGACTAGATGATGCAACAGACGGTCAGAAAAAAGAGAACAGGAATTAGATGGGACTTCACCACTATGCTTAAAGGCCTTGAATTTGCAGACGGCATTGCCCTACTGTCATCAGCAATGAACCAGTTTCAGTCTAAGACAACAGAACTGGAAGAAAACTCCGCAAAAGTTGGGTTGAAGCTGAATGCCTAGAAGTGCAAAGTGATGAAGATAAATAGCAAGAGTGAAATCAGTCTGACATTTGGAAACAGCGAAGCCGACGAGGTGGACAACTTTACCTACCTCAGCGCTAATGTCACCAAGGATGGAGGAGGAACTCCTGACATCAGGAAGAGGATAGCACTGGCCAGTGTATCCTTCAGGAGGCTAGCCAATATCTGGAACACTACAGACATCAAAAGAAAGATAAAAGTCTCCCTTTTTAAGAACCTGGCCCTCTCTGTATTGTTAAAAGGATGTGAGAGGTGGAAGCTTACCAAGACAGAGAAAAAGAAGATTGATATCTTTCAGACCAAGTGCCTCAGAAGGATCCTTAACGTCAGATGGCAGCAGAATATCCCAAACAAGACAGTTCTGGAGATGGCAGAAGCAGAAAGCATTAGTAGCGAGGTAAGGAAGAGGAGAAGGAATTGGATCGGCTATGTGCTTAGAAAGGATCCAACGGATGACTGGGTTGTGGCCCTCGGGTGGACGCCTGAAAGGAGAGGGAAGTGAGGTCGCCCCAATACAACTTGGCAATATAAGGTGGAGCAAAACAATGCTGGCTGGAACTCCTGGAACACTATACACCGTGCAGCCTCAGACCGACCCCAGTGGAAGAGATGTTTAGGCCTTGTGTGCCTCCTGGCACGGAGAGAAATAAGGTTAAGGTAAATGGTGAATAGATTCTCATTGGTTCAGAAATTAATAACAATGGCAACTTTAAATTGTTGCTGACAACAATGAGACGACTTAAGCCCCATCTCTGCCGTAAGAAACGCTTTCATTGGATTATTGCTACACTTGTTGACATTAGCCCGAATTCTATCCTATGTATATTTCAGTGAATGAAAAGATGTGTAAATTTCAGACGCTAATAATGGAGTGTCGAGAATACCACGCCTTACTGAAAGTCCAAAGATAACAGAGAATTGCACTACTTCAGGCATGCTGTTGCATTGGAGGAAAGGGCTGTAACAAAAATTAATATTGCATTATCAGAAGTGTTTCGTGATAAAAAAAAAAAAAAGTAGGTTGCCGACACTCAATTTAATTGAAAAACAATTACTGTGCATACAATTTGTCAGTTTGTGTCCACTCCTTGCTTGAAGTACAACCTAGAACTTTGTCAGTGGATGCATCTTACGAGAAATGTGTCGTGAACTGCTTTAACTAGTCAAATCCTTTCTGAATCAAATACAATGTATTACACTTTTGATGTCTACAGCTATCGAACCCCGTTCCTTGCTGCATCGTAACAATGCCAAAATTTTAGAGATTTTAAGATATCTAAAGTAAATCTTTACTCCAAAGTTGTTTCAAACGACAGGGTCACATTACAACCATGAATGTGCAATAACAGACAGATCTGCATAATGCAGTTCTGTTTCGGATTATTGAGTACACGCATATTATGTATACATGTACCCCAATATTTTTATTAAATATAAACTACACGATATACGTGTAGCTTTCTTTTCCTTCGTGGGTGAGAGTGGTCCAAATATGTAACATTTCCTGGCTTTTTTTCACGGGTTTTAATATTTTACGAGCCACAAAAACGTCAGATCCGTGCCATTATGAAAACTAAGTCAAGCTTAGTTTTCATTTCCTGCATGTTAAAATGCCAAATGTAGGGTGATGTTTTCTTTTCACCAATATTGGTGAGTACTAGAAGCATTGTACTTTTGATAAATTGTGATTTCGGCATTTAATTCGCAAGTATTGAAAATCAACTTCGGTTGGAATGGAGACGGAAAAATTTCCAGTTTTTGTCATGGCACCCATTCTACAGTTCTAACGTTTTCCTGGGACATAAAATATCAAAATCGTAAAAAAAAAGTTTGGAATACGTCTGATCATGCTGATATTTCGAACTTGGGTCAGAGATGAAATACAAATGATTAAACACTAGTTTTTTTCAGATACATAAACATTTTATTTTTTTCACACTTGGAATACCTTCATATTTGAGCTCTTCCATCTTCCCCAAAAGCATATATAGGAAGAAATTGCAAGTCCAAAAATTTTGATAGCTTTAGGGTCCTAATACACTACTACAATGTACATGTACTTTGACATAAGAAATGGAGATAAGTTCTTTTCAGTCACAGTAAATGATTAGAAAACAATCTCGATAAAAAACATGCATGTGTACACTGATGTCTCAGGAATAATTCCTTTATAAAGCTTACATTTGAATACTTGTTCTTGATTCATCAGGTATACAGTGTAAATTATTTTTTCTTCAAATTCAAATTCTCAATTCAACGCAATACATGTATTTCCATAAATTGCATCAATCAATCATTTCATCATTGAAACTTTGATGATACTAAATAAAATGAACACAAAACATGTACATATACTCAATCTTTTCCACAAACATGAATCACCGTAGGTTTAATATATCAAGATTTTTAACTCACTCATTCTCTCAAAAAAAAATCACATCCTTTGGAAGTTATACTCACATACACACCAAATAATTAAAACACCGTGCACAATACCATCACCTCAGGTACAGATTCACAGTTCAAATACATGTACTCACAAAGCATTCTTACACTTACATTTCATAACATTCTCATAACATTCTCATGAAAACTAAACACTAAATACATACAAACAAATCATAGTACATGTATTAAAATTTTTCTTTGAAATACCAAAACTTGACTTTCATTTTTAAAAAAAATCATTTTAAACAATCTTCTATTTTTTTAAAAAAAAAAATCATTTCAATAACCTCTTGATGTTTTTAATTTTACAAAATGGCCTCCATGAAATAAAGCACTTCATTTACACATAACGAGGAATTAGACCAGCCGTCCACACAGATCTGTATATCGCTGCCTTGTGAACCCCCTCCATTACGTACCGGACTAGAATCGATTTGGACTGTACTCATCTGGAAACTTAAACTTGTGTGAGCCATCTCCCATTACTTTGGGTAGGGTGCCAGCATTGGGAATGACATTCCAGGACAGAGTCAAAGTGATGTTCTTATTCCCCCTGTAAAATCAATACTGTGTAGTATTATAATTATATGTAACATACTAGGAAGTCAGTTGTGACTTAAATTAACATCAAGTCAAGTCAAACATGCATGGTAAAAGTTCACAAATGATAGACACAACTTGCACCAGAAAAACATATGCAGCAGACAAGGTCTTTTTTCAGACAACTTTCTTTTTTTAAATTTAATCTTAAATTCCTCTCTGTGCAATATATTGCCAGGTTACCTCTCGATATATGATTACACAATCAAATACAAGCGGACAACATTCAGCACTTTAAACATGCCAATCAAGTAATATAAATATGCCACTGTGACAAGCAGACAACAGGTGAGATTGTTTTCTGTAATGCTAAGATATTTCAGACATTTTCCTATGAGATTTTTTTCAGCATTATTTGGGAGAAAAAAAAAGTCAACCAAATTTTCTCCAACAAGTGCTCAGTGCCAAATGACTGAGAATGATATTAGATCGTCAATTTAACAACTGCAACCTGTTTGCAGAAAGTAATTTATATTTCTCACTAGTCACTACAGGGTTTCACTCCATTTTACAAAATGCATTACTTTCTTATGTGTTTCCAAGTTAGTGTTTATTCTTTTAAAATCAAAATGGTCAAAAAAAGGCAATATCACAAATATTAAATGGACATACATGTAAGTTGGGGTGGTAGTCCAGTCAATGAACTACAGGACCCGAAACAAATTGCAAAAGAAGAAATAAATGCATAGAAAGTTTCATTTATGTTCTGTTATTAATCTATAAAAATTCGCCATTGATTAGTTACTGTATAGTAATTTTCTGCGAATTATTTAAATTCTCCTTAAACGAAATTCATTATAACGTAATGTCCCCTCCATATGCAATAGGCCTACGGAACATGACGTCATAACAACATAACGACGGATGATAATCTGCTAATATTATGTAAGTATTCTATACTAATTCAATATATTTATAATATTTTACAGGAATTACTTTATTCCGATACGCAACTATCAATAGTATTAGCTAAAACAGTATCATTATGTTTCAATGGATCGTAGCAGACGCATATCCCCCATAATAAAGAATTTTGTTAAAAATACTTAAACTGTCAATAATATAATACTCACATTCAACATATTAATTAGAATTATCGTTTTACAAAGAAAACCAAAGTATTTCTCTGATATGTCGCTGATTATTTACGTTTTTATCGATGTGTTTACCTAGACTCTGTCCAAAATAAAAAAGTACGACAGCCCAGTGCAGTCATATTGATTGAATCTAAAAGTTAACGGTAGTTTAATTAATTTTATGTGTTTGCATCTTTTAGCCAAAAAAAAAAAAATAATAATAATTTTAAAAAATAATAATAATATTTAGCAAATATTAGAAGAACCAAGCTTTATTATTATTTCCTTTCATTTAGGATTACTGCACTTTTTGATGAAAGATTTGAATATGGAACAGAGTCTATCAAGTTTATGTGTGTTTTGTTCAAAATCATTAGACAATGGAACAGAATTGACAGTTTTACGCGAAAAGGGTTGTGATACAATTAATAAATCTAGTGAAATTCTTAATGCAGGTATAATAACACATCCTGGGCAAAAAGTTCATAAAAATTGTAGGCGAGATTTCTGCAGACACAAAGAAATACGTCGCCATGAAAGTGTACCTACACATGTCCTTGAGGACAAAACATTATCTCTGCGTTCAAAAGCAAACGCCTTTTCATTTAAAGACCATTGTCTTTTTTGTTCACAGATGGTCAAAACTGATGGAAATAAGCGAAGCCTGGACTGCTTCCCTGTACATACTTTTGATTTTCAGCGTACTATAGCATCAATTTGCTCTGAAAGAGGGGATGATTGGGGCAATGAAGTAAGAAAGCGAATAGAGTTTGGAAGAGATCTCCCAGCTGTCGATGCTGTATACCATCAAGTATGCAATGTTAATTTCAGAACTGGAAAACAAATTCCTAAACAACTGCAGTCCGAGCCAAATTTGAAAAACCAGAGATTGAGCGTAGGAAGACCAGAAAATCTAAATCAGATGAAAGCATTCCTGAAAGTAGTAGAATATTTGGAAAACAATGATGATGAACAAATCACAATATCAGATCTTGTAATGAAGATGAAGGAATACTGTACTGATGAGCCATATAGTTTCGTTTACATGAAGAAAAAACTGTTAGAGTATTTTGGTAAGTCCATTGTTATAGCAGAAATAAATGGAAAACAGAATGTTGTGACATTTAGATCAACAGCCTCGGAAATTCTTCATAACTTCTACAGCCAACCGAAAGAGGAAGACCTCAAGGAGAAACAGATTAGGATCATCGAAACGGCCGCAAAACTTCTTTGCAGTGACATAAAGACTGTTAAAACAAATAAATCTACTTATCCAGATCCACTTTCACTGTCATCAGATGAATCTAATCTAGAATTTTTACCAGAGTCACTTAAATGTTTTTTGACAACACTACTGGGAAATAGAAAAAACGATACGAAAGTTTCGTCAATTGGACAGACGATGATGCAAGCAGTGAGACCCCGAGTATTGATGGCACCATTACAGATCGGTTTAGGTGTGCAGCTTCGTCATCATTTTGCATCTAAATTTCTGATAGATGTACTAAACAGTCTTGGCTTTTGTGCATCCTACTTCGAGGTGTCCAAATTTGAATCATGTGCTGCTGTTTCAAAAAGAACTTACATACCAGATACATTTGGTGATGGCCTTATCCAATTTTCAGCGGATAATGTCGATCATAACCTGATCACTTTGGACTGCAGTGGTACATTCCATGGAATGGGGATAATTGCTTCCATTACACCGGGTGTTGAATCCAGTACGCCAATACCTAGAGTTGATGTAACATGTGAAGAAATCATAGGGGCGGGGAAGATCGATATTAAATATTATAAAGCACAAACTGAAACAACCTCTTCATTTATACTTAAGAAGTTGAGTTGCGGACAGTACAAAGATGAAACGGCAAACCTTGAAACTCTGCTTAAAATTTCGTGGCCTTTGCAAACTTTACGACTTAGTTGGTCGGGATTTATGCAGAGCTATCAAAAGGGAGAGCACCCAGGACAATCATCTATTTGCTTTATGCCAATGATTGATATGAATCCAAGTGATCTGACGTGCATTTATTCTACCCTCCTGTTCCTTTGCAAAGAGAGTTCGCGTCTAAGTGTGACCCCTACTGTAACATTTGATCAACCGCTATACTGGAAGGCGTTAACTATGATCCACAATGAACCACATGGAAGTCCCCTCAAGGCCATAGTTTTACGACTAGGAGGATTCCACATGCAAATGAGTTTTCTAGGATGCATTGGGTTCGTTATGCAGAGTTCTGGTCTTTATGAAGTGCTTGAAAATATCTATGCCTCTAATACAATAGAACAAATGTTGACGGGGAAATCTTTCTCAAGATCATTACGAGGTCATATGATTGTTGATTGTGCTCTACATATTCTGCTTATCTCAAATATCCTAAATTTGCCAATACGGTGTAATCTTGAAGAAAACACCGAACAAACCAATGAAGACGATGAACAGGACAACAAGCAAAACGCACCGTTGAAAGCGAAGTTTGAGAGGGCAATGCAAATGTATCGTCAGTTGCTGTGCGAGTCGATATGTCTTGACGATATTCTAGGAGACCCTGAACTGATGGAAATTGAGCAAAGTATCAAGGAAGAAAAAGACAGACTCTCCCAATATCCCACCGCCAAGCTATGGATACAGTATATGGATATGGTCTACATTATGAAATGTTTCATTAAAGCAGAGAGAACAGGGAAGTGGCAAATGCATTTAGAGACCATAAAGAAAATGCTACCTTTTTCTGCGGCAACAGGACACAATTTGTATTTAAAATCTGCATACACATATTTGCAACAAATGCAGACTTTAGAAGATGAACATCCAGAAATTTTCCTAAGGTTCTGTGAAGGTTACCATGTTGTTAGACGAAGTGACAGATATTGGGCGGGCCTGTCGACAGATCTCATTATTGAACAAACTCTAATGAGAAGTGTGAAGACAAATGGAGGAATGACCCGAGGAAAGGGTATGTCTGAAGTACAAAGAGCACAATGGCTATTATCTATGCCAGCATGTTCCAGCATAAACTCAGCCATGCAGGATTTTGAAAAGTTGCAGTTCAGCACCAGCAATCAGCACAAAGAATGTTCCAGATCTAGACAGGAAAGAGACAACAAAGACTTGACAACAGTTTTGTCATTTCTATCTGAAAGAAATCCATTTATTGAACACCCCAGTTTGAGAAATATTGAAACAGACGTGACAGCTTCTAATGAAGTCAACGTACACAAGGCTCAAGATGTCGGACAGAAAATAATTGAAGAATTAATGGAGGGTCAGGACGTTTTCAAATTGTCTTTCAAAAGAAGTAAACAAGTAAAAACTTTGAATGAAAAATCAAAGGTCAAAGTACAAGGTGAAAGTGTGAATGTCAGTCCTCAGCTACTATTCCAAAGATTAGTCACAGCAGCAAGATCCCTTACTGATGATGTATCGAAAGTGTTTTCCTACGAGCTTAGCAACTACCCATCATCAATGTTTGATACAAACGGGATAATGCGTGAACCACAGAAATCAAATCTTGCCGATGCACTTTGGGCTCTTGGCGATTGTTCAGCAGATGAAACAACAAGTTCCTGTGAAGTCCAGTATGTTTTAGATGGGGGATCATTGTTACATCATATTCCGTGGATCAAGGGATTAACTTTTGGTAAAATTGCTCAGATGTATACCAATCATGTCTGTAAGAAATATGGTTCTGCAATAGTTGTTTTTGATGGATATGATATTGGACCTTCTACCAAAGATCAAACTCACAACAGACGTACAAAGGGCATTGTAGGAAATAAAGTCATCTTCAATGAAGACACTCCATTCCGGTCCAAAAAAGAAATGTTTCTGAGGAATTCTGAAAACAAGAAGAATTTCATACAGCTGCTTTCAAACACTTTACGATCTAGAGGCTGCACAACAATACTAGCGGAAGGGGACGCAGACGTTTTGATAGTTCAGACGACCGTAGCATCAGCTAAAAATATCAAGACAATTCTCATCGGTGAAGATACTGATTTATTGGTATTGCTTTGCTATCACACAAACCCCGCTGACAATGACATTATATTTAAATCAGAAACGAAACCCGTTGCAAAGAAATACAAAGTATGGGATCTAAAGAAATTGATAGGTGTAATAGGACAAGAAACATGCAACAATTTGCTTTTTGTTCATGCAATAACAGGTTGTGATACCACCTCAAGATTGTTTGGTGTTGGAAAAGGACAAGCTCTCAAAAAAGCAATGCACGATTCACTATTTAAAGAATGTGCACGTTGTTTTAACATTGCTTCAACGAAAGAGGAGATAAAAGTCCTTGGTGAAAAAGCTATCGGATCCCTTTATGGTGGTATTCCCTACGAAGGATTAGATTTGCTAAGATTCCGAAAATTTTATACAAAAGTTATGTCCAGTTCGACGTTTGTCGAAGTACATACACTACCTCCAACAGCAGACTCTGCGATGTTTCACTCTTTCAGAACATTCTATCAAGTAAAGCAGTGGATGGGAGAGGACGGGCTTGATTTGAGGGAGTGGGGCTGGGCAGTAGAAAATGACGAGTGTGTGCCAGTTAGGAGCAGTGTTCCCCCTGCACCAGAAGAACTTCTAAAAACCATATACTGCAAATGTAAAACCGCGTGTGATACTAAACGTTGTACATGCAAAAAACATGGTTTGGAATGTTCTCTGGCCTGTACTGAGTGTCATGGTACGACGTGTTGCAACTCTTCTGAGCAACAAAGTGAATCTGAAATTGACTTGCCAGATGTTGACCAAGAACTTTGAAGAGATTTTATTTTAAAACGTAGATTTTAATAACGATTTATGTCAAAATCTCTATATTTTGTTGTATCTAGACACCTATATAATGTCAATTTCAATTTTATGATAATTATGCTTGTTTATTTAAGACTGATAGGTTTAAAAATTTTAACATCAACATCCTGGCTTATATCTGTATCCTTTTATATTTTAAAATACGTGTATAAATTGTAGAGCTTTAAAACACGATTCTTTGCTTATGAAGTGCAAAAAGGTCATATCAATTATACAAATTATCTAGATTTAAATAAAAATGAAGTTGTATTAAATTTTTATTAATGTCTATAGGCTTGTAAACCTATTTCATGTTTTGTTTCATCACATTAGATCAGTTTCAAAGAGAACAACTTTTATATATGCCCATCATTTATGTGTCATTTTCTCGCGATCATTGATATCATATGTTATATTTTAGATCCATAAAAAATCACTTTCCCCTTAGTATACAAATTGCGAATTTTTTTCCTGCAATAATTACTTAATATGTGAAATAAATTTAGTGTTAAACATTCTTTTGCAATTTGTTTTGGGTTTTGCAAAATCTGTCGTTCATTGACTAGACTATGGGGGGTTGGGGGTAATGAAACATAATGATGTGAAGCTTAAGCAAAAACAGCCTGTAAATTGATGATTAAATTTACTGAACTTACCTTAGTCCATTCCCGTAGTCCCAGAAATAATACTTTGTATTGATACTTCTGTAATCCAGCATGGAGTTCTCTCCCCTTCTGATAATTTTGTCCCAAATTACAACTTGGTTTAATTTCTGTACAAGAAACAAAAAATAAAAAAAAATCAGGTTTTCATATTCCTCAATTATGTCATTCTGAAGATAAGAATCTGAAAAGCTAATAAACAGTACTGCCATTGAAACACTGATGTAGAGGAATTTTCTTCTTAACTTTCTTACAATTTATAATAATTTTACATGAGTGCATAGGGTTTCTTTTGGCTTTAATTACAATAATAAATATATGTTCATTCTACATGCATTTAATTACAAATATTTGTAGTGAAAACACCTGAATACTTCAGTTTTATTTATGAACAATTCAGAACAAATATTTTTTCATCAGCTATAATATTGATGCTGAAATTCTCATCAATGGCAGTTGAGATAAACAGAAGTACACTTACATGCTCTGGTGTTTCATATTCTGCTGTTAGGTATAAAAATAGTTGTTTTACATTCCAGTTAAATATTTTTGTTAAATCTGCTTTTAATTAAGGAATTTAAATTAAGAAACAATATTAAATTGCATAGATAAAATTTCTGAAACAATGTAATAACTCATATTTTAAAGTTGAAACTAAAAAAATCATTAAAAATTTAACTATTTTTAAGAATTCTGAGACCCCATTATATTTTTGTCTTTTAAAAAATGATTTTTTTAAGTTGTCCACATCATTATAATATATACATGTTTACTGCATTTAACAGTTTGAGATGTGAATATCAGTCTGGATAGCCCAGTAGATTTAGCATCTGACTAATGATTCAAGGTTCCCCTGTTCAGTTCCAAGTCTAACCATAAATTTTCTCAATTCTTGATATATTATTTGTACTTTAATCATGATGTGTTAGGCTAAAGACCTTCAACAGAGCAAGGGTAGAGTCTGTGCTGGTTTCTGCTGGAGGCAAAGACCTTGAAATGAGGGGATTGACCACCAGGCAGATTCTATCACCTTTGACCAAATAGCTCAGCTTCGATTCCTAGTCAAGCCATAATTTTCTCCCCTGTTTCATAATTTTGTGTTTATATTGATCACCCATGAACTTGCAGGTGAAAATCCTACCATGGGCAAATAAAAGCTTGGGTGTGTATTTAAGAGCAAAGACCTGCATTTTACGGATGCAGGGAAAAGCTAGGGTTTTTTTTTTTAAACTGGGACAGCTTGGAACCGAGAGTGAGAAGGTAGAGTATAGGACAAGTGATGCAGCTGGCCTGGGTTCAATTCCCAGTCCTGTCATACATGTATGCATTTTACTCCTTTTCTGTTATATGATTATGCAAAAAGTATGTATCTAATTATCATTTTTAAAAGGATATCAGTTGTCATGTCAAAGACAACAAAGCCTAGATCGCTCTTTTCTCTGTTTGCACTGTAGTCAGGAACATTTTTTCTGTAAGAGTAAGCAAATGTTAATTTCATGAGATTATGAGCATGATAAAAATATTCAACTTTAAAGATTGACCACAAAAGTTTACATGATTACAGATTTATTTCTTTTATCCTATCAGTATGTGAATGTAGACAGGTCTAGGTCTTTCGGTCTCTGATTCAGCAATACAGATTAAAGGTTTAATTACTGTAGGTCGTTTTGATTCCACGTGTTAAAATTTCACGATTTCTCAAAAAGTACCAATCATGATGGTTTTAAATTCATGCTACAAGAAATTAATTAAAATTCCATATAAGCATTTAACCATTAGTTAATGATAGCATTCACAATGGGTTTTATTCCGCGGAAACATGATGAATCACGAACACAGTGAAATTAAAACCATCGTGATTATTTGTCAATCTACAGTATCTCAGTGAGATTTGTTGAGGCTAGGAATTTTGAACAAAGACTCCAGACGTTTAGTTCAACCTTTATATTTCCTTGCTAAAAATTGTTCTACTGCTTACAAACAAATAATATTGTGAGGCTTTCTCTTTAAGCCTTGAACTTCTTAAATGAGAATAAAAATGAGGAGGAAATACATCACATATGCTACCGGCTTTATGCTTTTTTCAATACTTACACAATCGCCTTTCCTGTACCAAGGTAGACCGATGTTTTGTGTGAATTAAATGCTGTTGTAAGAAAACAGCAAAACGTTAATGCTGCCATCACGCTGAGCGTGAAGGCAAATATTGTATTCAATCTGGATAGAAATGTGTTCATTTTGGAGAGATTGAAAGCGGAAGTGCTCGTCAGCACATTTAAACTAAAATTCGATCCAAAATGTTCCGGTTTGTCATGTAACATTCTTTTTTATTATTATTATTATTTATCTATTTATTTGTGGAGGGAAGGGGACTTTTTTTATTCCGCAGTCTCATATTTTTTACATACCACCTGTATGGGATCTAGATTTCATTATTTCTGGGGCTTCGGGAAAATATTTTCCGTCACATAGCCTATATCACATGATAAGTTGTATCACATGATCGGGCGATGGCGGCTTACATCAAACATTGTCCTGTTGTAATTACTGTTGTTGTTCTTATTTGTTGTGCATGTGTTGTCAACTGTATACTTATAAAGACGAACAACATTCAGAAGGAGGTTTTTAGATCATACAAAGGGGACTATAACTACAAAACAAAGTACTTCACGCAAAAGGTATATTTTTGAAGGGCGTCTTAGCATATCGTTATGCCAGAGACATAAATACAATGTAACTTGTTATTTATGTCTGCCAGATCCTTTCTTGGGAAAAAAAATGGACCCCCCCCCACCTTCCCAGAAAAAAAAAATTATAAACTGTACATATCTATATGCCAACATGCAAATATATATCAATATATATATCAAATTGTCATTACATATATACTTTTTTCTATAAGTGCCGTTTTGACCAAGTGCCGTTTTAACCAAGTGCCGTTTTGACCAAGTGCCGTTTTCACTAGGTGCCGTTTTGCATAATCCAGGTGCCGTTTTCACCAGGTGCCGTTTTCACCAGGTACCGTTCTAACCATAATTCTCTGGTTATGCCAACACTACATGAAATATACATATTCATTCACATGATCTGTATTATTTGGAGGGGTGGGGGGTAAAAAGCTTGGAAGTTATTCATGTCTCTGAAATTATTTATATCATTGACATTATTTTATGTAGGCTTATATTTTAGAAAATGTACACCAGATTAACTGAATAATAGAATGCTATACAAAGTGCAATTATGCTGCCTGGCTGTCTATAATTTTTTTTATGTTAATCTAGCATGCACAAGGTCGGTGATGAAGAAGAGGGATAATTTTCACCAATACAGTGAAGTCGCCAATTCCGGGTCACGTCTGGGTGTTTTGTTAATATTTTGCAAATCTGTTAAATTTATATTTTATGCAATATGTGTATTGAAAGAACAAATAGTGATTCATCCTAACACCTTTTCGTTTTCAAAGTAGCTACACGGGAACAATATTTACAGAAGTATTTCAGCAAGGCCTAGCTTCCCCAGTTACGAATCATTTTCTCCATTTCCGGGTCATGTGACTTCACAGTCGTGTAATATTCATGGAACGTTTCAGAACACGATTTTTATGATGTTGAAGCATAAAACGATTCACGCAGCTTGGAAAAAAAGTAAAACAATCACAGAAAATATGTTTAAATTATTTTTAAAACAATTACAACAAAACAAATTGCAGTATGCAGAATTAAAAAATGTGTTAGGATTAAAAATAATACAATTAAGTTCATTTATTAAAAAACAAATGCATTTGAAGGGTTAACTCGATTATAATTTTTAGAAAAAATATTTTCCAGTTAGAATACTTTTGATAATCAAGGTAAAGACATGGTTGTCGATTGGTTTTGTACATAGAATTTTGACATGTTCATGCAACGAGATTGCGTGACCCGCAATTGGAGAAACTACTACAGTTTGATTTAATAATCATTATAATTTTATTTAAGCAGCGATCATTATGATTGATTTCTGAGTTAAAACTAAATGCATTTACTATACATTTGAGCTCTTATTATTTATCTAGAACTTTTATATCAGCCTTTCTGCAGCGAACAAAAACGAAAGTAGCCCGTCACCGCAGCAGAAACACCCAAGTCTTTAATGCGTGCGTTTCAGAATTTTGATTGTCGGATGCTCTCTTAAAGTTGATATTCAAAATTTTGTAATTAATTACATACAGAAAGACCAGTTCTTCATGACCAGAGTATTCAATAAGTTTTTTGCGCTTAAATTTTAACACTAGGCATAAAATACACGCGAGTGACCCGGAATTGGAGACGACCCGGAATTGGCGACTCCACTGTATCAGTTTTGTGCGCATATATAATCATCATCAACAGTAATCTTGCTAGAGGAGTTGACTGTATACATAGTAATTAATTTAGGGGTCCCAGGATTGATTCATGTGTATACATTTTCTCCTTTACAATCCAATGAAAATAATATGTGTTCATTGCAGTATTTGATGTAACAGGGTTGATGGTAATAATGAATTCAAAAAACCTGTTAGGGTTCGTACTTTTTATTCAATAATAGAACTAGAACTATTGCCCTGAAATAAATAAAAAACAATATTGAAAATATCATAAAATCATTATTGCACAATACAATATTATACACAATGCTGCATAAAGGGAGGTGACTCTTATATTCATTACACATAATACAATATTCTCTTAGAATTTACACTTTGTGTATACAATTGAAATACTTTACAACAAAATATATATTACTGTTAAAGCTATAATATCTTCATAGACATTATAATACCTGTACGAAATGTTCCGCCTGGAATATAGGGGGAATTGAGGCGTACTTGGAGAGGCGTCAATTTGTCTCTCTACATATATGGTGATACACAGGTTCCGGGCGTAACTTAGGCGGAAACCAAGCGTAAATGGGCAGGAATTTGAGGCGAAAAATGCAAATGAGCTACGCCCGGAAAAATAAATGACGCCCGTAAAAAAAATTACGCCTGGAAACTAAAATGACGCCTGGAATACAATTACGCCTGGAATGTCCTTATTATTATATAATACTATGTGACCTAAAAACCTATATATTTACCATGTTAACAAAGAAAAACATTCAGATTATGATTTACAATGTTAAAGCTAAAAATTTTGCTTTTTGAACTGTAAGAAAACATAATGACAGGTCATTAACATATATCATTAACAAGTATAGAAAAATAACATGAATTTTGTGTATTAGGGACACTAAAACACGACCACCATGATTGAGTGTGTATTTAGAATTAAACTTTTTTACAATACCTGTACATTTTATCATTTCAGTAATTATATTGAAACATTTTAGTTACTGACTGAATACAATTCTTCATTTACTCAGCAGTTTACAGTTAGATTCTCACTGCAGCCTCTATCAGACTGATATTCCTCAGAATGTGTGCACTAGGACAAACTCAAATATCTAAAGTAATTTTAGGGTCAACCTGTTATAACTATCATTGTACATAATCATAATCAAATTTACTCAAATAGGTACTAGATATTCATGATCACACCTACCAGTAGACACTGCACTGTGTCATCCTCAAGAAGTGTAAAAGCCTTAACATTGAGATATCTGCATTTCCTGTTTCCCACACACTAAACTCCCTCCTTCATGATCAAATTCAAACTTAACCTCCTATCTGAAATGACCCTTAATTGATAATTGAATTGACCAATCAGAGGCTTTTACTTCTCCTGAAAGTTCCAGGCGTAATTTTTGTTTCTATTTTCCTGCCATTTTACGCCCGGAAAATCTGAACTTGCCAATTGACGCCCGGAAATTACAAATGACGCCTGTAAGACGTCTCTTCTACTGAGGCGTAACTCTTTGAAAATTCCTCTCCGCCTCAAGTACGCCCGGAATTTGCCAATTCCTGCTCAATTCCACCCAAATTCCAGGCGGAATCCGCCTTTAAAATTCATACAGGAACCTTCTACTAATAAACAATAGATCATAAAAACAATAGCTTACCATGGTTTATCATACAGTATATGGCTGGGAGTCCAGATGATAACTATAAATTATCATAGACGTTATATAATTCTCTGATCATAAAACACTTAATTATGTACACATAATCTGGATCATTAAATACACTAGCTTTACTTCTAATAGCTAAGTAAAATATCTAACTTCCAAAATCTCTTTTTTACTGTGCAAAACGCAGCAAAAGTGCTATGGAAATTAATATTGCAAGAATTACAGATTTCACATTTAATTAACCATATTATAGATATGTTAAAATAGTAAATAGATATAAGCTTACCATAAGATGAAGAGAGTCTCAGTCAGTAGATCAAATTCTGCCATACAAAAATCAATAGGACCCCTCTACAAACAATGTGAACAAAGAATGACCAGAAAAACCAGGAACCTTGGGAGGGAATTCAACAAACCAATAAAACACAAGAACACAAAACTAAAACCCAGTAGAAATAAAGAACTTATGGAACTATATATGGCCAGGACCTTAATTATAACCCTAAAGGCAAATAACAGGGTAGCACTATATGTTACACCTGAATGACCATACACTTATCTAATAAGCTGAAATAGAAATACATACAAATAAAATACAAAATAATTTGATATTTATTAATTAATAAGAAATTAATTAATAAATCATCACTCTTACATTGAAATCAGCAATAAAAAAAATAAAATATGTTAGATAAAGTGCAATTAGATTTTAAAAGGTTACATCAATGTGATTACATTATATTGGATTATATGACTTTTTTCATGCATTATGAATCTAGGAAGTAGAAAATGAAATGACTATTAAAATACTGTCACATGCCACATTGATTCAACCATTGGTTTTGGCTATTAAGCTTATTTGAACCAGTCTCGTGTGATGAAAGTTTGTATACCTTCATTAACTTGGTAGTAAGATTTTTTTGTTGGACATTTTGAAGCTTTTTTTGTAGGTTGATCATTTTGGTTTTGTAAACAAAGACACATACCAGCAAAGATACCTTATAGCAGACCAATTTTGGGACAAAAATGGAGGACCAATTTTCTTCTACACAGGGAATGAGGGGGACATTACATTGTTCTGCAATAATACAGTAGGTTTATAGTGTCTTTTTTGAGTTGGCTCGCGTAGCGAGCTACTCCCTGTCGACATAGCCATTTCAGAGCTGTAAAATTTTTCACGCATTCATCAAGGTGATCGTTACGCCAAATATAATAGTTCTAGCAAAAAATGCTTTGGTTTGTGTGATTGTATAAACTTAAGAGGTAAAAACTGTATAAAATTTCATACTGTAACATTATTTTTGCCTCATACATGTATGCTTTTAAAGAAATTTTTGATTAAATACCTATATGATGTAAAATTACTGCGTATGAATATATGTTCAAGCATGTTAGGCGGATCTAATCTTCCCATCTGAAATTTATTTATAATTGACGTAGAATACTCCCTAACACAAACACCTGATGCTCTCATTAGCTGCAGCTAGTTGTTGCTGAAAATCTATTTTTAGAATCCAGATTTGCTGTGGGAATTTTTAACCTAATGATCCCATAACACTGACCACTTCAGCTAATGTGCTGAAATTCATTATAGAATCCAGTCAAAATAATACTGAAGCCCCTTAGTGCCAACCTGTATATATAAAGGAAAAGCAGTATACACTTTATTTATGAACCGAACATGGATCAGACAAATAATATTCAATCTCTTAAGATGCAAAATAAACTGAATATATTAAGGTATGGTGCCCATATGTATAAAAAAGCTCAATTGACTCGAGCGAGTCAACTCGCAGGCCCTTCAGGCCTTTGATGTTAAGTTTGAAGTAGAGATAGAACTGATAAACCCAAAGGCAACAGCTGGTCTCTCCAGTATAACAGGAACAGTTCTTAAGATTATTTCATTTTTTAGAACAATTTACTTATCTGAAGTTTGTGCATGTTTAACAGTATTTCTCTTATGTGAATTTACATTTATTGCATTTTTCAGGGTTTTATGTGGGACATTGCACCAGAATTTAAAGCCATTATCATATTTGCTGAGCACAGATATTATGGTACATCTATTCCTTATGGACCATCTGCTTTTAAGGTATAATATTTACATGTACTAAGATTGTACATCCCTTAGCAAGGGACAGAGATTCTTGCCTTCCTCAATTAAAAAAAACTTTTTTTATATACTTTTATGCCTTTCACTTAATTGTTATTTACTGTGTATTGTTTAATCAAGGAACAAGTGCATCAGTTTATATAGCAAAATTCTTCTGTTTTATCTGATTTATCTTCAACATATTCAATTAAAACATAGGAAGATCAATTGTTCTAAATTTCTCCTGAAAACAATTCATAATAAATGGAAGTCTTTACCTATGATATGAAGCATAAAACGATGGTGATTTATTTACAGGACCCAGCCAAAATGAACTATCTGACTTCAGAGCAGGCCCTGGCAGATTATGCTGTTCTCATCCAGCACCTTAAGTCTACCATACCAGGGTCCGCAAACAGCAAAGTGATAGCATTCGGAGGATCCTATGGGGGGATGCTAGCAGCATGGTTTAGAATGAAGTATCCTAATGTTGTTCAAGGGTAGGAGAAAATATATTAAAAATTCATATAGATCTTTTAATTAGCAGCATTGTCCTGATATGGACATTCTTGGCAGATGCTGACAGCCATAAAACATGATATTTACTATTATTCTCTGTTTTTTAGGTCTATAGCTGCCTCAGCCCCTATTTGGACCTTCTTGGCAGATGCTGATTGTGACGCCTTTGATTACACGGTCACTGAAACCTTCAGGAAATCTTCTCAAGCTTGTGTAGACAATTTCAGAGCTTTATGGAAAACACTGGACACCTCAGCTTCACAAAGTATGTCTAATTTATAACTTCAAGTAGATGTATGTAATATCAAAAACTATACTTGTGTATAAAAAACACAACACTTACAATTTTAATATATACCTAATCCAGTTTAAATATGTCTCTAGTACTCTAAAACAATGATACCTTGCATTTTCCTAGCTGCTGGTCTCTCCAAACTAACAGAGATGTTTCACCTGTGTAGACCTCTGAAGAGTGTGGATGAAGTGGGGGCTCTGAAGGGATGGATTCAGTCGGCCCTTGTATATCTGGCCATGGTGGATTATCCGTATCCCTCCAGCTTTCTGGCTCCCCTACCAGCATGGCCTGTCACGGTATATATCTGTTATATTAATATACATTTAGTGTCTCATTGGTCTATAAGTTTTCATCTCTCTTTAAAATATGTATCAAGTTGTCTCCCTGTAAAGTACGTAAGTTTTTTTTAGCTCACCTGAGCCGAAGGCTCAAGTGAGCTTTTCTGATCACATTTTGTCCGTCGTCCGTCCGTCCGTCTGTCTGTCCGTTTGTAAACTTTTCACATTTTCGACTTCTTCTCAAGAACCACTGGGCCAATTTTGACCAAACTTGGTACAAAGCATCCTTGGGTGAAGGGGAATTTAAATTGTTAAAATAAAGGGCCAAGTCCCCTCACAAGGGGAGATAATCAAGAAAAGACAAAAATAGGGTGGGGTCACTAAAAAATCTTCTTCTCAAGAACCACTGGACCAGAAAAGCTGAAACTTATATGGAAGCATACTGGTATAGTGTAGATTCTAAATTGTTCAAATCATGACCCCCCGGGGGAAGGGCGGGGCCACAATGGGGAATCAAAGTTTTACATAGAAATATATAGGGAAAATCTTTGAAAATCTTCTTCTCAAGAACCACTGGGCCAGAAAAGCTGAAACTTATGTGGAAGCATCCTGGGGTAGTGTAGATTCTAAATTGTTCAAATCATGACCCCCGGGGAAAGTTCGGGGCCACAATGGGAATCAAAGTTATACATCGAAATATATAGGAAAAATCTTTTGGAAAATCTTCTTCTCAAGAACCACTGGGCCAGAAAAGCTGAATCTTATGTGCACATGGAAGGATCCTGGGGTAGTGTAGATTTCAAAATGTCTAAATTATGATCAGTGGGGTAGGGTGGGGATGCATTATGTATTACAAGGAGGAAATCTGGTAGGAACAGAATGGTCAAAGCTTCTCAGGTGAGCGATGTGGCCCATGGGCCTCTTGTTTTCCTTTGTAATAGATTGTCTCCATGTAATAACTATAGCAAGTTGTCTCCCTGTATTAACTGTAACTAGTTGTCTCCCTGCAATAACTACATGCATAGCAAGTTGTCTCCATGTAATAACTGTAACAAGTTGTCTCCTTTTTGCAAACAGCAGAAAGGGTGTAACTGTATTTTCATTCATAATGAATAATTTTCAATTGTGAGATAAATGATAAATGAAGTGTTTATTTGAAAATATAATCATTAATTATTAAAAATAGTTCTTTGCATACACTTTCAGGCAGCCTGCCATCCTATGTCTACTCCACTGAGTGGGGACAATTTGATCCGGGGTGCAGTGAAAGCTATGAATGTTTACTTTAACTATACAGGGACCACACCTTGTTTTGATATCACAGGTCAAGCCACTCCTAATCTCGGAACCTCAGGGTGGGACTACCAGGTATTACATTGTAGTCAGTTTGTGTCTTGGGTATATAATTTTACCAAATGATAGCATAATTTATAAAAGTCACAAATTTAGACATAATACAGTAAAACTTTGTTATTCTGATCTTCAAGGATTCAAGATATTGAGGGTAATATTCTTTAAAATATATGCTTGGGACTTTACATTAAATTAAACATATCGAAGGTATTCAAGATATTGGTGTACAAGATATCATACTTCAGCTATATTTATAGAAGAATATGCTTTGCTAAATGATTGCTAGGAAGCTGATTGTACAATATTTGGATGTACATGTATTTGCAACCATTAATTCAACTTTGGCCAATCTCTTTAAATTCTTGTTGCATGTTCTTGCATTTAGTTATAAAAGTGTTATTAAAATATTACAGGTCTGTTAAAATTTAACATAATATTGTAGTCCTGCACAGAAATGGTGGCCCCTAGTTGCTCTAATGGTAAGACGGACATGTTTGAGAAATCTGCCTGGGACTTCAATGCGTACACTAAGGGTTGTCTCAAAAACTGGAAAGTAAAGCCAGACATTAACTGGTTGGAAACACAATACTGGGGCAGAAACTTGTCTTCTACATCCAATATCATATTTAGGTCAGTAACTAATCAATGCAAAATTGGCTCAAATATACAATTACATGTACTATGACCAAACTTTTTCCTTCTCTTCTCAATAGAATATTTATGTTTATAGTATTAAAGATATTAACATACCCATAAAATTAAAAGTTTGTTTCATTCTTTTTTTCTTCAATAATTTCATAATGATGAAGAATAAAAAAAAACAAAAGTAACAGACATAAAATATTTTCACTGACAACTTTTAACCTTTATTGGAAAGTATATGAAATAAACTAGTGTAAAATTGCCTTTACTTCTACAAGGCTTGTGAACCGTTTGTTTTAGCAATGGTCTGTTGGATCCCTGGTCCTCCGGAGGAGTTCTAAAATCTCAGTCTGAATCTGTTGTTGCCATAGTGATCCCTAACGGAGCTCATCATCTCGATCTGCGAGGTTCAAATAAAGCTGACACTCCAGACGTTATCTCGGCTCGAAACACAGAAAAAAAGTACATCGCCAGCTGGATCAAATCGCCATAAAAGTTCATCTCATGGAGGAGCTTTCTCAAGTTATCTACCTTTGATCTTCCAATAAATTTGCATAATACCGTGCTTAGTGGAGGACATGATTACAAGTAGAGAAATTATTTTCTTGTTATTATCTAGTGGAAAATGGATTTACATGTACATATTTACCAGGTTTTGACATTGTGCATTTCACAAATGTTTAACTTAGCATTTTTAATGGGATTTTTATAAAAATAATTTATTACATATTTAGATTTAAGGTCACTGCTAGTGTTTGTTATTTTGTGAACATTCCTTAAGCATATACATATTTCTTAGAATATTAGTATGCATATTTTACAATCTACTTCAAAATGATGTGCAATGATTTGAATATACATTTTACATGTACTTCATGAATCAGAGACAATATTTTTGCTGCAGATTTTTAGCTCACCTGAGCCGAAGGCTCAAGTGAGCTTATCTGATCACATTTTGTCCGGCGTCCGTCTGTCTGTCTGTCCGTCTGTCTGTCCGTAAACTTTTCACATTTTCGACTTCTTCTCAAGAACCAATGGGCCAATTTCAACCAAACTTGCCACAAAGCATCCTTGGGTGAAGGGGATTCAAGTTTGTTCAAATGAAGGGCCACGCCCTTTTCCAAGGGGAGATAATTATGAATTAGTGAAAAATTATTGGCATTTTTAAAAAATCTTCTTCTCAAGAACCACTGGGCCAGGAAAGATGAAACTCATGTGGAATCATCCTCAGGTAGTGTAGATTCAAGTTTGTTCAAATCATGACCCCCGGGGGTAGGGTGGGGCCACACTGGCCGACCAAAGTTTTACATAGGAATATATAGGAAAAATCTTTAAAAATCTTCTTCTCAAGAACCACTGGGCCAGGAAAGATGAAACTCATGTGGAATCATCCTCAGGTAGTGTAGATTCAAGTTTGTTCAAATCTTGACCCCCGGGGGTAGGGCGGGGCCACAATGGCCGACCAAAGTTTTACATAGAAATATATAGGAAAATTCTTGAAAAATCTTCTTCTCAATAATAACAAAGCCATGATTGGTCATATTTATATGGAAGCATCCTCAGATAGTGTAGATTCAAGTTTGTTCAAATCATGACCCCCGGGGGTAGGGCGGGGCCACAATGGCCAACCAAAGTTTTACATAGAAGTATATAGGAAAATTCTTTAAAAATCTTCTTCTCTAGAATAACAAAGCCATGTTTGCTCATATTTATATGGAAACATCCCTAGGTAGTGTAGATTCAAGTTTGTTCAAATCATGACCCCTGGGGGTAGGGTGGGGCCAAAATGGCCGATCAAAGTTTTACATAGAAATATATGGGAAAATTCTTTAAAAATCTTCTTCTCAAGAATAGAAAAGCCATAATTCATCATATTTATATGGAAGCATCCCCAGGTAGTGTAGATTCAAGTTTGTTCAAATCATGACCCCAGAGGGTAGGGCAGGGCCACAATGGCCGACCAAAGTTTTACATAGAAATATATAGGAAAATTCTTGAAAAATCTTCTTCTCAAGAAATACAAAGCCATGATTGGTCATATTTATATGGAAGCATCCTCAGGTAGTGTAGATTCAAGTTTGTTCAAATCATGACCCCCAGGGGTAGGGCGGGGCCACAATGGCCGACCAAAGATTTACATAGAAATATATAGAAAAATTCTTTCAAAAATCTTCTTCTCAAGAATAGTAAAGCCATGATTGGTCATGGGACTTTGTTTGGATTAAAACTTTTCAGTAATAAACCAATTTTCTACCTTTTCCAAGCCACAGTGCTCAGGTGAGCGATGTGGCCCATGGGCCTCTTGTTTTTTTAACTTTATTAAAGTCAGTTTTTAATACAGTCTAGTCTTTGTGATTTTTAAGTACTGACTGAAATCAAGGAGAAAAACAGACATCAGGGGCAATTTACAGGTGCTTGAGGACAGGACTCCCCTTCCTCCCCTCTTGTAGACCCCCGGGATTTTTTATTTTTTTTTTATAAACTATCTTTTAGTGACATATTTGTTATTCAATCCATACCAACAGCCCAAAAAATTACAAAAAAAAACAAATAGTTTATAAAAATTCAACCCACTCTGTATATAAAAACAACAAGGGTCCTGTCCTTAAGCACCTGTGATCACACACAGTAATTAATTTCTATACTATATACCAACATGACTTTTGTGAATTCATTGGTGGATCCAGAGAGGAGGGGTCTGGGGTTGGAACCCCTTTATTTTTGCAGAGAGAGAATGTCAATGCTTTTTTCTGTAATATAGATATTCTTATGCCTAAGTGGTTTAATCTTTTCCCTTTCTGCTCGCTACATAGACTCTCATATTTGCTTTCTCTGTGTTATTTGTCTGTCCCTGCCCCGGGTACAACCATCCATAAATAATACGCAAAGTTTCACTCGATATCATCGGAAGAAGCTATGTCATTTTGGCTATCTTCTGAAGTAACTAACTTAAACATGCATGAGAAAAATATTCCTCACCTTATATTATGGAGATATTTTAATCAATGAAGAGAAAGGTTTTATATGTACCTAAAATATGCAGGGATAGGGGGCTCACTTTTTCTGAGAATAATCTTTTGCTGTATCCATATAGTTTTAGTATGCAAGCTTTGAATTGGATGTACCCTTTGAAAACCATTGCTGTTGGGTTGGAAGTGCCTGTCGTGTGATTCTATGCACGAGATTTGGGGGCACTGACCTGGAATCCCTCCTTTCAAAAATAGCTGGATCCACATCTGAAGTTTGTCACGTTTGAGTAGGCAGCAGTTAGGCCCCTTTACCCCCCAAATACATGAACACTTAATTGTGAAACTTTACTTTAGCAGGTAAGATATTTATACATATTGGAGAACTCTGGCGGATTAAGTTTGCCAGAAAAATCCAACAATTTAATGATTATCTTTATATAATTCATTTTAAAATCAGTTCTTTTACAAATTCATGTGTCAAATATTTTTGAAACATTTTACAAAGTATCATTGGTTTTTCTTCATAAAATTTTAATCCAAATTTTTAGCATTTTACATACATTTATAACATTCTTACAAATGGAATACCGGTATACGGCAAAGTTAAATAGACAAATTAAAATTAATTAAAACATTCATTTGACAAGAGATATCAAAAGATTTTAAATCAAAGATAATGTTATTAAATGATTAAAATTTTCACATATAAATGATCGTTTCCTACAGGAATAATACAGACATTGTTCACTAACCAGTCAAGATCAATAATATTTATGCATGCACATGTAATACATATATCATATAAAACCCGTTGAACACAGTTTGTCATATCTTTCAAAGAATATCATAAGGGAGAGTCAGAATAAATAAAATCCAGAGAATAAACAACGAAGATGCCTTATCAACCTGCTGATAAATACTGCTGGAAGTTTTGATGGTTTATTTTACTATTGGAACTTTGGGCTGTATGATTATTACTGGAAGTTTTGATGGCGTATTGTGTCATGTAAACAAAATGAAGGCGATGATTTAAATAAATGACCTAGACTAGACTTCAATTCACGTGTGATTTCCTACTCTGTCCCTGGGTATTAAACGCAATTCAGATCCATGTTTTAAGAAAACGTTTCCTGCAAAAGACAAGAAAACAGAATTAATTAAGGAATTATATATAGATGTATATTGCAAATTTATGTTACATTTGATAATTACACTAAGAATTTGATAATTAAAACTAAATTTTAACAAATCTTCAAAATACATGTAAATAACAGAATTTTTTATGTTTTATCTTTTATGTGCAATTCTGTGATCTTTAAACAAAACAATATACCTGGTACAAAAGAAATTACATATCAATCTACCAGGGTATATTTTTATATAAGACTGGAATTTTCAAGAAAATTATTTTATATCTTGGTCAAAATGCTAAAAACAGTTGTATCTTTTATAGTTTTGGACATATACTCTAACCTGCACTTTGGGCTGGGTTGATTCCTATTCCATCGTTCGTAATAATTGCACTGGTAGCAGGGGGTACTTTGAACTGAAAATATTAACTGATCTTTAAACAAAATTTCACAAAGTTAAATTATAAGCCATTACATGTACTACAATTTAACTACCGGTACAATACTACAATGTAAATAAAAACACCATTTTTGTAGAATACATGAGTAAATGGTAATCTAAACAACCTAGCGATTCATTTATTATATTTATGTCAAATTTGTTTAGAATAAAAGATTAACCTGATATAAAAAACTTGCTACATGTATGAATTTAAATTCAAATTTAATCACAAGAAAATTAACTTTATATATAAATTATGTGTAAAATATGCAGAAACTATCATTCTCTTCTCACAAAGGATAAAAAATAATACAGATTGCAATTTCTATCTAAGAAAATTAACACTTCAAAATGAAAGAATATGTGAAATGCAAATAGTTCTTTGTTTGGAATAACATCTTATGCAAAAAGTGTCAGATTATATATTTTAATTTATGGAATTAAAATATGACACAACTGCCAAGGTAAATTAAAAAATATTTTCCAGTAATAAAAAGTGCTTTTCAAATATTTCAGGTAGGACGTAAGGGTTTTAGTTACAGCTAACTTCTCTTCTTTGGTAAAATAAATGTCACTGAATTTTCTCTGATACTTCATAAAAACCTGAAACCTTGGTATAACTTGTGTATAGCCTACCTCTTCGGCTGCGAACTTCAGCACGGCCGTGAATGGGGTTTGTTCAGGTACACTTAGCCTGAGATAAAAAGAAAATATATCATCAAGTAGTCTACAGACTGGCTTGTAACGTAAATATTCCATTCACAACTTAAACCATCCAATTTCAGAAAGGGTGTAGCACTTGGGCTTTGTTTACAGAATGCATTGTCTAAGATCTGTATATTTATTCCAAAAGAGGGGCGTGTTAAATAGGGTGACCGAAGAGTTAATTACACTGGTATTGAATGTGGTGACTTCAATAGAAATAGTGAAAACCCACTTAAATGCGTAATAGTCTTGGAGCTATCAGATCTCTGGTACCAGTTTTATTGTCCCGTTTTTAAGAGGAGGACATGGAAATTGTAGAAGTGTCAAAACTATCCCTCAACATTTTAATTGGAATTTAACATTAACTCACTAATAGATAACATTAACTCACTAATGAACTCCTTTTAAAAGTTAAAAAATCATTTGGAAAATATTTCATTTTAAAACTGGACTTGGGGTTCATTCTTTTACATGGGTACTTAATAACAATGAAAAATTTCCAGAAATTAATTTGTTTGAAATAAGCATACGTGACTGTGGTTAGAATGAAGAATTTGTTTCCAAGTTCCGGCATCATAACATGTACAATAGTTTTTATAAAATTCACTATATTACCCAAAAAAACATGCAATTTCTCTTCAAGATTCCATTGAAAAAAAATCTTAGCTTTCATACTAACCATTGTAAATGTTTAATGAATGTTTTTAAAATAAATTATAAAACAAAGATGCATAGCGGGTTCAAGTTAATGTTCCTCCTTTCTTTTCTCCTCACTAAAATAAGGGGAAACTCAGGAGTAGATAAGATGTAGATACTTAACTTTTGAACCTTCTAACCTCCCCATTATTTAAATAGGATAACCCCAGACCCCCTTCTACTTTCCAAATGCCCCCTACTATTTCAATTCTTAGAGACATGCAACCCTGTTTTAAGGATTAAAAAATTATGGTATACCTATATAAAAAACACAGATTTGTTTTTATAGGATTGAAGGGTTTTTTTAAATATAAATTAACAAGGTTTTTTTTTTTGATTTGAGATATAAAGCAACTTTTATTCTTTCATCTCAGTGTAAATCTGAAATTAAGAATCCTTTAATTTGCACTTGTAAATCTGCTTCTTTTAAGTGTTCAATTTTATCTATTAATCTATAAATTGATTATTATTTATCTTGATTGAACATAAATTATTCTCTGATGAATGATGTACATAACAGATTCTACAAAGGTAGGGTGAAAAATAACAAAAATGAATGGATTCAGGACAACTTAAAGGATTAAGGTCAAGGATGCTGGGGAAGCCGCCGAGGGAAATAGTTTCCTGCTGAGGGGAACCATAAATTTTCTATTTTCCAAGTTCCCATTTGTAACTGTTTTATTATACCGAAACAATCATAGGCGCTTTAATTTTTTTTTTATTAGATATTCCGACATTTAAAAAATAACCACTGTAGAGGCATAATTACAAATGCATGCGGTGTAACACATTGTATGATAAGTAATGTCGTAAAACAATTTAATTGTTTTTAAAAAGTATTTTCACTAACATTTCGAAGAATTTTCGTTGTCTTTCTTTTGCTAGAATACAAATATGATTTTGACATCGCATGTCGAAATGTTTTGACGTCATAGTTACATTGCTAATAACATGACGTCACAGACTCGAGATTCCTTGAACGCTCCGCCTACTGAACACTTTGACTGGTTAAAATTACTAATAAATATTCATGAGGGAGTAGTCCCAGGGAGTAGCTCTGATTTTCCAGGGAGTAGTCTTTAGTTGAGGGCAGTAGTCTCTTCTCGGGGAAATAGACAGTTTTATGGTATTAATTTTATATAGAGTAATTACAGCAGAGGTATAATAATATACTGTAACAGTTATGGAATGGGTTAGGATATGAGGGAATTGGCAAATTTCTGGTTCCCATAGGTGTCTATTTCCCTGAGAAGAGACTACATGTACATGTACTAGTATTTCCCCCATCTGCGGCCCACTCCCTGAAAAATCAAAGCTACTCCCTCGGACTATTCCCTCATGAATATTTATCAATATTTTTAACCAATCAAAATGAACAGTAAGCAGAGCATTCAGGAAATCTCGGGTCTCGTAGACTTCATAATGACATCAAAATATTTCGACATGCCATGTCAAATTCATACTGGATCGAATTCTAGCAAAATGTAGACAACAATAAGTCTTTAAAATATCAGTGAATTTTTCTAAAAACAATTTTATTGTCCTCAGTTATAATGCATTAGTTATCTTCTGAACCACAGGAATTTGTGTTTATAAAGTCTCTATATTTGTTTGTTTTTTTCTTCTGAAAATCTGGTTAAATAAATCACCTAAATATGATTTAAAAGTTATGGAAAGGGTACTTGGGAAATAACAAATTTATGGTTCCCCTAAGAGTCTAAGACGTAAAGTTATAAGCAAGATATTGAACCATAATGTCAGAACATTTTGACATGGAATGTCAAATCATACTACAGTGAGGTTGCCAATAACGAATCGCACCCGTTAACGAATCACTTTCAGATGAAAATTCTGTATTTTTCTTATCAAAGTCCAATACTTAGCTTAACCTACCCTGTCATGCTGAACTATTCTTGCTTTTATCATTTTATTTTATCATGAAATTATTAAATTCAACTCGTTCAATGTAATAATTTTTAAATAAACATGAACAAGCTATTCTGTGACGCAGACCAGAAGCGTACATGCAAGCAGACTACTTTCACCATGTTCACTTTTCGGTACTGCTCCAAAGTGAATCGTACATTCTAGGTAAACAAATCTGGTGCAGATGTTTAATAAAATTATGTGTCTAAAAGCACTGAAAGCGTCATACAATTTCTAAATCAGAAATTAATAGTATCGCTTTATTTAGGTTTCCAATAACGAATTGCTGTTTCAAGAAATATGAGATGCAGGGATCCTGTCCAAATTATAATTTTTCGTATGCGGTTTTTTGCACACCAGTTACAATAAAAAAAAAACAACAGAAGATGTCTACCAAAAGTGTACAATAAAGGTGGTTAAAATACACATATATAAACAAAATCAGCAGCCAAAATCAGTAAGAAGTGCAGAGCATGTGGATGAAGTATATGTGCATGTAAGCTAATGTGAAGACATCGACGATAGCGAAATAAAAATCGTCATGATTACCAAACAAAATTAAGAATTAGAAATTTTATTTATTTATTCCTTTGCAATTTAAACTTCCCTACTAAATCATTACACCGATACACCGTTTGCAGTTTTCCTATTCCCTAAAAAATTATTTCAAATAATCAATTTTTATTTCTTGTCATGATCAAGATCAAGCTCGTATAATATAAAATGCATATTGCTAACAATACTTTTTCAATTCAGCATCAAACTAAATAAATTATAAACAGTTTTATGACCCCCCCCTTTTTCAACATATACTAGTTAGTAAATTTGATTTAAATTACACATTGAGGAAATGATATGCAGACTGCAGCCTTTTGCCTATATGGAATATATGCCACTGTCTTCACGCAAAAGGAAGAAAGAGCACTATGAAAGCAGCAGAGAAGAATGAGCTGTCTTATTCATTTTTATAGAGACGATGGACAGTTGAAGTAGACCCATATAAAGGCTAGTGAAATACTGGTAAGACTGTGGATGTTTGTGTGAATCCCAACATCATTATTTGTAAATCATTGGAGGAAATGTATGTGACTGAAAATATAATTGTTCCAAAAAATATATATACATTTTCAGTTCTTAACCACCAAAATTCCTTGAAAATTAATTAATCAAGCATGTCATCAATCCAAAAAGGCAAAATTATAGGACAAATTCAATGATAAGAATCAAAAATATTCTTCGGCTGTTTAGCAGTGTAAAAAATCATTGTTGTTGTTTTTGCATTAATATGCAAACAACTCAAAAAATAGCTTTTCTACTTTTTGGGGGGGGGGGGGGTTGAAATATTTTAAGGCTCTTTTTTTCAGTTCACGTGATTCGGTAATTCTTTCATGACTATATAAAGTTTATAGAGAGCTCTTATATGTTTTATGCAACAATAATTTTAAAACTGTAATGAACAGCTGTTAAATGATCTACAGGATGTTCCACTTACACTTTGTATGGTAGTTTTGGATCCGAAGTCAAAATTATCTTGAACGTAACCTTTGACCTGCAAATACAAGCAAGAAATTATGATTGTCTTTGATAATTATGTTTCTAATAATACACAAACACAACACAAAATACACACATTAACTCTACTTACATGTTTTCTGTGTGTAAACCGGTGACACGCAATACCGGAAGTGAAAGAATTCCCAACCCCCTATTATGAATGCGCCATCTACCGAGGAAAGCCTATCCTATTTAAAGCAATTGATCATGTGACTTGAAAGAGAGATAGAGGGGAGATTCTCTTATCACATTTAGAACTTTAAAGGCAAAATGGAGTTAACCAGATTTCTACTTGTGTTTATTTTATGTTTAATTTCAAGGACCCTCGCTTTTGAAACAAAGAAATTATCTCAACCTCTCAAACAAGACATTTTAACACTGAAGGAGCCCGTGAGAGAATCTAGTGAAACCAGAATAAGACATGCGGATGAAGAGGAGGATGAATTTGGTAATTATATAAAGTATAACGCTAGCTGTTGCACTTAATAAAAGGGGAGGGGGTCAATTTTTGTTTTCATTAACAAAAGAAATCATTAACTTTATACAAACTCATTCAAAGAATTGCGGGAAAGCATTTTTTATTTATTTTAATAAAAAAAATAACGATTGTTAGTTTTTTTAACTAATAGATTAAATAAAGTAATTAAGCTAAAACTTTTGTGTAAAATTATAAAATCAAAGCTTAAAATTATCTGAATGTTAAAAATTCGTAATTTAAATAAATGTCATTTAAAGATGTACCAATAAATTATCAAATCACGCGTGTAGCCTGGTATGGAAATCATTATGCAAGTTTTCCATGATAAGTGTAACTGGTAAAAATAATATCATCTTGACCAACTAAATTGTAACTTAAGATTCTTGAAGGAACTGACAACACTGAAGAGATTATCATCAGTATTTAAGGGGGAAATCAAAATATTAGTAAACATACGTCACGTTTTCACTAAATGTAAACTTTCTAGAGGTATGAATGCACTAATTATTATCAGAATATATTGCGGTGTAAGTCGGAGACATTCGTACTGCACGGTTAATCTTCTGAGCTACTGATAGCAACTCGACACACTGGGTCAATGGTATCTCAAATCGTCCGCAGGTTATAGATATGAAATTTTTACATGCTTTAATTGTACATTTCATTTCTTGTTATGCATTTACTACACTTCGAAAATACTGCTTAGTCATTTCTCTAAGGACTTCGATCTATCATTCAATACATGTAAAAGTAGACAAAGGGGGAAAATAGAAAGCACGTTAATTAACTGGAGTTTTGTCAATTCACAAGCGACCATTTGAGACATCTCCTATTTTTCCACCAGTATTCTGTTGCTAATTCTTTCTCATTAAATGTCAAAATAAATAAGTTGTAAGGAGGTGAGTTTTTGGATGGCTCGGATGTATTGTAGCTGCAGACCTGAGAAGTGCTGGGTCATGCCGGGGTTTCGGGCACTGACGATGTGATGTGGTGCCTGGAGCTCGGTGTCTCTATTTGCGACAGGACGGGTATCGTATTGCCGATCCATTGTCCTCAGTAACCACTGCGGACTTCGCTCTTCACAGAAAATAACATTACCTTCGATAAATCCACAGGTTCTTAATTAATTAACCTCAAAACATCCCTACTCGAATTTAAAGATATTTGTAATTGTTTTTAGAATGATTCCTTTTTTTGGTCGTGCATTTGAAGGTATAACGAGAGGAATGGAGTTGAAGGGGCTCCCGGATAAATATTTTTGTTTTTGACCAGATTGGGAAAAAATGTCGCATTTAGTTCCTAATAAGCTTATCACCCCAGATGTCTCTTTCCCACGCCAGCTTCTGCCATTCTACCAGAAGCACGATTAAATTGAGATAGGTGGACAAAAAAATTCTTGACATATTTAGGACACTGTCCCAAAACTTCGGGCCAAAAATTATAGAACGTTTTGTTTTCAAAACAATTTATAGGATCTATGACTTTCGCCAAATTTAATCCATTGAAGACGCGTTAAGATAAGTAGAAAATGATTTTCGCACATAATTTTATTTTTGATATCTATTGTTTTCGATCAATAGATTCACTATTGCTAAAAACGCCAAATTTACTGTGAAGAAAACATAAGAAATTTATTGAAATTCGTTTTTCGACTGAACTAATAAACATAAAACTACTTTTTAATATACCACTAAAACGATAATAAACTCCCAATGATATGGCTATTTTCAAATCTTAATAGGATGGTAAATATGATTGATTCCTTTGACATATGGGTGGTATTCCCTTTCATCAATTATTTAAACTTCTCACACTTCAAGAAATTCTTTAAACACATAATTTGCTTTACGACAAAGTAACATGCAGGACTTGTATTAGAGAGACGTTGTCGGGATAATGGATTAATGCGATTTATGTGCTAAATTTGGACAAGCGGACCGAACACGCTATCTCCGATGTCCCCAGTTTCTAAAGAAAACCCCAGGTAGTCCCTTTCATGGAACGAGATTTGTTGGGTAGAAATGCATCGGAAAGAATCTGGATTGTGCTGACTGCAGATTTGAGGAATGCTACCTTATAAGA